ACTTAGCAGGAATAAGCGGAACAGAATAGACTGATTGGAAAATGGAAGCTTGAGTTTGACTTTGTTTGCTTTAATTTTAAAATAATTTTTTTTTTTTAAAGTTTTGAATATAATTCAATTAATTTAATATTGAGTATGGGATAAATAAAAAATTATTGATAAATATATAATTAATAAAATATAAAAAATTAAAAAAAATAAAATTCAAATTTTTGTAAAAATTAAAATTAAAAAGGTTCTGTTTAGATGGTTATTTGAAAATTAAAAAAAATTTTAATTTTTTTTTTTTGAACATATTTTAATTTTTTCTAATTTTAAATTGAGCATTTTGATTAAATATTTTATTTTATATGAAAAATTCATTAAATTTGGATTAAAATGATATATAAAACACCTATTAAACTTTTTCATTTTAAAAAGATAATAATGATTATTTTATATAGATTTAATTAAGTTTTATTTATTTAGACTCTAATTTTCAAAAAAAAAGTATTTTCTTACTCATCAGACATGGTAATATAACAATTGTACAGAAAAGAAAAGAAAAGAAAATATAATTACAGATGGAAACCAAGTTATTTTATGCGATAATGAAGGAATGCCAAGAAGATGCGGTGGTCAAGGTGATATTTTAGCAAGAGCTATTGGTACTATGTTTGTTTGGTCACAACTATAAAGATAACAATAACAATAGTGATAAAGTCCAAGAAAATGAACAACCATACCCGTCTTTTGCTGCCTGTTGATTACTCAGACATTCTTCAAAGAAAGCATTCGAAAAAACAAACGTTCAACTATTACTCAAGATATTATAAAAAATAAATTCCAAAATGTTTTGAAGAATTATTCCATGAACCATCTTTTTATTATTATTTACAAATTTACTTTTACTTTATTTATTTTTTTTAATACATATTCTTTGATAACCACTCTAAACCTTCATAAGCACCTTCTCCATTTATAGCACATAACTTTTGAATATACCATTTTCTTTCTTTACAATTTTCTAATTCTAATGCCTCTATTATTTCTTCTAAAGATAAACAACCTTTAATATCTTGTTTATTTGCCAATATTAAAAATGGAGTTTTTTTTAGTTCTTCGTGGCTTCTTAAATAATCCATTGATTCCTTTACTTCTCCTAATCTTTCACGGTCATTTGAATCAATTAGAAAGATCAATCCATTGGAATTATAAAAATAATGTCTCCAAAGATCACGAATTTTAGTTTGACCTCCAATATCCCAAATCATCATTGATACTTTTTTATGTGTTATACTTTCAACATTAAAGCCAATTGTCGGTATTGTAGATATTTCTTCTCCAATCTTTAATCTATATAAAAGAGTAGTTTTACCAGCACCATCTAAACCAAGCATTAAAATTCTGCTATCTCTACCACTAAATAGTTTTAAATAGTCAAAAAAGAAATTATAAATTGCTTTAAACATTTTTTTATTTTATTTTTATATTATTATATATTACTATATTTTATAATATTATTATTATAAATTATTATTTAAAAAATTGAATTTAATTTTTATATTTATATTAATTTTTTAAAATTTATATTTTATTTTTCTTGTATTTTATAAGTGGTATTGTTTTGTTGTTAAATTGCATGTATGATAAAAAGATAAAAATAAACTAAAAAATTAATAAAATTTTGCGTGGTTATTCCCCAAATTTTTCTTAATTTTTTTTTTAATTTATTGAAAAAAATAAAATAAAAAAAAAAAATTGTAAAAACTGGTCAAGTTTGCACAAAATTTCTAATAATGCCCTAATGTCCGATCATGACTCTTTTTTTTATTTCAAAATTAAAATGGAGAAAAAAAAAAATTTTATTTTATATATTTTATTTATTTGATATAAATTCTTGCGCTAAATTTTACAATATAAAAATCCCAAAAAAAAAAAAAAAAAAAAAAAAAAAAAAAAGTTATAAAGAAATAATTATTTGTTTATTTAAAATAATTTTTTAATTTTTCGTCAACTATAGAAAAATGGCCTTGTTTGTATTCGTTATAGTCTTTTTTTGAAATTGAAATATATTTTAATAGTAATTGAGTTACTTCAATATAGTCCATATTAATTGAGGTATGTAATATATATTTGAATGTATCTAAAATTGAAATTTTATTTGTTATTGATTTTTTATTAAATAATTGGCTGTACTTTAATGCTATTAGATTTGCAACTCTTAAATCCCCCATTCCTAAACATTTTTGCAAAAAGTAAGATATAATCTCTTTGTTATCCTCAGATAACCCATTTTTTAAAGTGTGATTTAAAAATTGATCTAAAAATTCGAGTGATGTTGGATAACTTTTTATATATCCATATTCAAAGTTTATAATTTGAAATATTCGATCGTATCTTCCTAATGTATAAAGCAATTCGATATATAACCAATTTGAAATTCGAAACAATACGAATTGGCCACCACTACTTTTGACTTTTAACTCTACACCATATTGATCAGTATTATCGATATGTATTGGTAATGCTGATGCTATATTTTCAAAAAACCAATATACCAATTCTTTATTTAGTACCGTTATATATTTAGTATCTTGAAAACATGAAAAGTATTTAACCTTATTTGATTTTATTAATTCGATTGCTCTTTGATTTAGTTCAGGTGTTGAACCCTGATCCAAAAAAAATGAATCGCACTCTAGTTCCCCATATTTTTCTAAACTATATGCTGCTGGATTAACTAATGCCCTATAATATATTTGAAATTTTGGTATACTTGGCTTGTACTTTAAAGAAAAATCAGCTTTGAAGCGAGTACCAGATTTGATCATTAACTCTTCATAATGCATTAAAACTGTGATATTTTTTACATAGAAACAGAGTTTATTATTATTTTTGAACAATATAGAATTTGGATGATTCTTATAAAAGTAGTCTAAAACTTCTGTCGACTCGATACCTTCAATAACGGTTTGGTCACTAATACGATGTTCGATAAATTTAAGAGAATGGTCATCCACAATAAGCTGAATTAACTCGATATTATTACTTAACATTACAAACTTTAGTAAATAGTCGATTCTAATATTATTGAAATAAAAAGATGGTTTTCTTATGTTCAATTTGGAGTTGAAAAAACCAATGTAATATGAAATTATATTTCTCTTTATTCTATATTTTGAAAACTTTAAAAAATCATTGAAATGTTTTTCATAATTATCTTCTGTTATTCCTAATTCTGAGAGTCGAATCAATATTGACTCTGTATCCCTGAATAGTAAATAATAATTTAATGGCATTTCATTCATTACTGCAACTGAATAAACTAAATCTATATAGTTTAAAATTATTGGTTTGATTTCACCATTATTATTACCAAAGTTATTATTATTATCTGAATTTATATTATTTAATATTAAATCTGAAAACTGATCTAAGAGTTGATTTATAGTGGATTTTAATTGATCTTGTGTAAATATTATTTTTTTGGCTAGTGAATCTATTAATTTTGTTTGATCCTTTTTAAGATTTTTAAAAATGATTGGTAAACATTCTACTAGTTTAACCAAATGCTTTAATTTGAAGGTTTCTTCGAAAATTCTGATATTTTTGAGGGAGATTAAGAATCTTGGTTTCTTTTTTTCATCGTTTATAAAATCGCATTTAACTTTACTATTCTTTGTATTGAAGCCGATAGAATTTAAATACTTTATCATTTTAATTTCTTTATAACTTGAAACTTTTAACTCCATTTTTTTTTCAGAAACTATTTGGTTAATTATTGTGCTATCGGTAACATTTAATAATTTTAAAACGGTAATATTTGATTCTAAAATTGCATAATAAATAAATTGAAACTTGTGAAAGGAATTTGGGTACTTTTTAAATATTTGGTTAAAAAAGGTTCTATTCTCTTCTGTATCTTTTCTAAAGTGGGAGCAGAGTAAACCAATACCAGGATTAAATATACCGAGATCTGATTTGTTAAAATTTAAGAATTCTCCACTCTTTACTTTATCTTTTAATATTTCTTTGCCATTTGAGAATCCAAATAATATATGATCAATGTTGAATAATCTTTCATATGTGAATGATTTACAGAGTTTGAAATTGGAAAAAATTCTTTTGAAAATAGTTTTATTTCTAAATGTGGACCAAAATGAAAATTCTAAAGGTTCAATGTTATCTTTAAATTTCAATACTGTTGAATATTTATTAAATGAATTGATTTTCTCTTTTTTTTGATTTTCTTCTATTAACGATTGTTTTAATTTTAAAAGTTGTTCAATTCTATTATAAATCTCTTCTTTTCTCCCACCGGCATTAATACAAAGTCTTTTTGCATATTCTCTTAGTTCTTTATATGTAAAATAATTGAAATTTTTATTTACAAAGGAATTATATTCATTACTAATATTCTCTATACTATCTTGTTTATCTTCATTATTATAATTATTATTATTATTATCATCATTATTATCATTATCATTGGAATTATTGTTATTATTTTTGGTATCTATATTATTATTTGTTGTTGTTAATTTTTTATTATTATTTGTTAATGTGTGGTCTTCACCATTATCTAATTTTCTTTTTCTATCCATCTTTGTAAAAATAGGGAGAGGTATGAAAATTAAATTAAAAAAATTAAAAAAAAATTAAAAAAATTAAAAAAAAAAAATTAAAAAAAATTAAAAAAAATAAAATAAAATTTAAAATATTTTAAATTGTTGTTAAAAATAAAAAAATATAATAAATAAAGGGTTTAAAAATGAATTAAATAAAAAAATTAAAAAAATATGGCCAGCAAATTTGTGGAGTCTAAATAGTGATTGTGGTTGGATTGGTGATAGTGGTAATTGGTAAAGTTAGGTTGTAAGGTTTTATCTTTAATGACTTTGATACTCTTGTAGCTACGTGGTGAATACAGATTTGTCGATTTACAATTAGAAGCAAATCAATTTAACAAACTCAGCAAAATATCAGGTGTTCAAAGCGGTCAAAATCCCATTGGTTGAGAGGATTTTATTCCAAATCAGTTTCAATCATAGGATGCAAATTTACAGATAGCCAAAGGGTTAATGTTTTAATGATAAAACAAAAAAAACCCGATGTAAAGCCGAGGATAAAAAAAAATGAGAGATATAAAATTATGCAAAAATAGAAAAAAAGTTAAATGATTTTATTTTGATAAAATATTTTTTCAAAATAAAATCATTTTAATTTATAAAAATTTAAATAAAGAAATTGAGGCAAAGGACCAAATTATACAGAAATATTCAAATGTATAAAGAGATAATAGAAAGTTTAGAATGTAAACTAATCCATTACAGGAGAGAAAATGAAGAGATCAAAGATATCAATAGCAAAAAAGAAACTAGTATTCAAATGATTCAAAAACAAATCACATATTTTAGAGATGGAATTCAACAATTATAAAATCAAAGAAGAAGAAGAAATTAAAAGGCTTTAAAAATCAAAACCAACCAAAAAGATGAATTAATAAAGGCATTATTTATTGCTTCATTCAGATAAAAACTGCAATTCCAAAGAAAACTAGTTAAGCTTTTAAAAAACTATCCGATTTCCGCCGGCCGACAAACTTTTTAAATAAATAATAAACTATAATTTAAATACATTTTAAACAAATTAATAAACTATATTTTTTAATTAAATATTGATAGCAGTATTAAAAAAGCAAATTTTTTATTATCTTTTATTTTTATTTAATTTTATTAATTTGAATTTAAAAATTCAAACATTTTGAAATCTATTTTATCGTATCGATGAACCAAATGAAGTTTTTGTAATTATATTATTTTCTTCAAGTTGCATGATTAACCACACTGTTTCATTTTTCATTAAACACTGTTTAAAATTTTTTAATTTTTTTTAATTTACTTTTTTTTTTAATTTTCTTTCATAGTATTTTGAAAAAGTTTTTTTTTTTTTTTATTTTTTTTTTTTTTTCTTTATTATTTTATATACATACAAATAATCATACATTTTTATTTTTTCATTATAATATTCGGCACATATAATAATTTTTAATAATAACAATAATAATTTTTAATAATAACAATAATAATTTTTTAAATATATTTAAAAATAATTTACAACTTAATTTATTTATTTAAAAATGGATTTATTACTTGTTTTTTACATTTTATGTGGTATCACTAGTTTCTCATTAGCATTTTTAATTAATAAGAAAATATACACTAGAAATAACATTAGAAACAATAATAGCACCAACACTCAAGAACCACACCCAATTAACAATAATTTAACTGTACAATTAACCACAAATCATCAAGACCCACCAAACGCCGCTGCCGCTGCCTCTGCACCATCCGCATCTGCATCAGAATCTGCATCATCTTCATCTGCACCATTTGCATCATCTGCACCATCTGAACCAGCACCATATGCATCAATATCTGCATCTGCACCTGCATCATATGTATCTGCATCAGTATCTGCATCAGTATCTGCACCAGCATCATCAGCACCAGCATCATCAGCACCAGCATCATCAGCACCATCAGCATCAGAATCTGCACAAAGACCAATCCCATTCATCCAGCTAATTCGTCAGCAACCACAACATCAACAACTACAACAATCACAACAACAAATCCCATTCATCCAACGAATTAGTCAGCAACCCCAACCCCAACAACCACAACAATCACAACAACCAATTCCACAACAACAATCACAACCACCACCAAAAACACATTTTATTGATCATAATGTTCAATATTATGAATCTATGGATATTGACTCAGGGACAGTCAATACTCCTCAAACACCACCAGAAGATAGAGCTATAGAACGTTTAAATGAACGTTTGGAGCTCTACAGTTTAGAGAACAGTAGAGCTATCCCAGGTGATGGCAATTGTCAGATGCATGCCCTATCTGACCAAATTTATGGCGATTTGAACCATAGTATGGAAATTAGAATAGCCATTGTTACATGGCTCATAAAAAATAAAAACTTAACCCTTTCAAATGGTGCAAAATTATACCAATTTGCCAATGCCACTAGTTGGTATAAGTACTGCATCCAAATGGCAAGAAAGGGTACATGGGGAGACCACTTAACTTTACTCGCCGCTGCTGAAATTTTCAAATCTAAAATTACCGTTATTTCATCAGTTGAATCTAACAGCAGCTTTTTCATTGAAATCACTCCACGTTCAGTTGAAAACTCCAGAGTAATTATTTTGTCTCACCATGCAGAACAACACTATGGTTCCTTACGCCAAATTTTATAATTAATAAGCATGGTCCAATATTAAAGTAATTCGAGGCATATTTAAAAACATTAAAGGTAAATAATTATATTTTCTATTTTTTATTTTTTTAATTTTTTTATAATTTATTAATTAATTTTTTAATACAATAGATTTCGTCACAGAATGTTTTGGCATTAGTCTAATAAATTTCGGTATTAGTACACCTAATCAATAATTTATAGACAGAAAATGGTATGTAAAATAATATTATTTTTTAAAATTAATTTTAAACATATATTAATAACCATCATTAGTCATCTGGAAAAAAATAAGCAGCATCTGATCAATTGCCCAAACGTATCAAAAAACCTATAGCAAATTCAATTTAAGGTCCCAATGGTGGTTCAAGTAATCGATCAAGCGTGGTTCAAATGGTTCTAGTAATCGGACAAGTGGTGGTTCAAGTGGTAGTTCGCATCACAATTAAAATGTTGGTTCAAGCAACTGGTCAAGTGTGGTCCAAGTGGTAATTTTCATCGTAATTCAAATGGTGGTTCAAATAATCGATCAAGTATGGTTCAGGTATCGGTCAAGTAGTGGTTCAAGTGGTATTCACATCGTAATTCAAAAGTTAGTTTAAAGTAGTGGTTCATATTGTAGCTTACATCAAAATTCAAACGTTGTTTCAAATAATCGGGTCAATTGGTAGTCAAATAGTGATTCAATTGGTGTGTCAACTAATATTTTAAGTAGTAGTTCAAATAATTGGTCAAATGGGGGTCCAAGTAATATTTTAAGTAGTAGCTCAATAGTTGAGTAATTAGTAAATTAAATGCAATTGGTTCAAGATTTATTGATAGCTGTCGCCCTATTGTATTTTCCTATATAGTAGAAATCATGACTTAGGTATATTATCTTTATTAATATTTTTATTTAATATTAAACTATATTAATTAATAATCTTTTTTATTTTTTTTTATTTTATTTTCAAGTTCTATCAAGGTTGTAATATATAATCACACTCAACATAATAATAATGCAGTCGATTTATTCAGCCAATAATCTCGTGTTAGCTTTTTTTTTTATTTTTAAATTTTATTTTTTTGATTTTTTTAAAAATTTTTTTTATTTTATTTTAAAAAAAAATTTATATTTCTTCATTTTATTTTTTGCATCACACAATATATACACATAAATATTTCAAAAAAAAATGATAGGTCAATAATTATAGTTTTAAAAAGCCTTCAAGTAAGTAAATAAGCACATTATTTTAAAACAAAAATAACAAATCTATATAAGGAATAGATGAACACAATACTAACACAAATTAATTATTATTATTTGTGCAGATCAAGTATGGTAACCTATTTCATTTAATGATGCAGAGCCTGATTCAAGAAATGTATTAGCAGCTGTTAAATTTAAAAAAAAAAAAAAAAAAAAAAAAATAATAATAGTTAAAAAAAAAGATCTAGATAGCAATAATAATTATAATACTTAATAGTATTAATAATAGATAAAAATCAAATAATATTTTATTTAAAATAAAATAAAATAAAATAAAATAAAATAAAATAAATAAAATAATAGGTTGATAAACTAAATTAAAGGATCCGCTCACTTTAGATTATGTTCCACCGAATAAAGAAATAGACCCAAAGAAAGTTTTATCATATATGTCAAAAACAATTAAGGTACTGACTGTCCAATTAGTGTTCAAAAGTCCCCGCAATCAGATCGAAGTTTCATTCTAATCAACTATTTGATGAATATCAGACATTGTTCTGGCCAAGCAACTATGGTATCATCATGGTTTTAGATGAAGAAAAGATCCAGTGATTCCTATCCGGCATTATGACTATCCAGATTTTATTATTTTAAGAGCTGCTGGTAACTATGAACAACACGGGTCATTATTAGCTCGAGCAACATCGAAAATGTTATTACTATAGGTGCAGAACAATCTATTATTCAAACACATACTCAAGATTTTATGACAATGATCCTTCAAGGTGAACAAATATATTAGGGTAACAGCGGTGATGTAGCTAAACCGGATCAACCCCCAAACCACCTTTTCAAATTATTAATCGATAAACAACCAATAAGATAAAAACAATTCAAATTAAAATAATCTAATTAATAATAATAATAATCAATTTACACTAGTTAACAATCAAAATGATCAATTATAATAATTAAATTAAAATAATAACAAAGTATAAATAATTCAATTTAATTATTATCAATTATAAGCTCATTTTTATATTTTATAGAGTTAATAAAATTCTCTATTTATAGTTTATACAATTGATAATCTATTGATGATCTATAAACAATACATATTTATTAAATAAAGATTTTAATTTATTTGATTAATAACTTATTTTTGTCTTAAATTTTTGACCACTTTTCTTTTTTTTTTTTTTTACAATTTTCCAATTGATACTTTTTTCTATTGATATATTTAATAAACGAAATAAAATAAATAATAATGAATTTAACTTTTTTAAAAAAACAAATAAAAAGCACATTAATGACAACATATCTTTTGGTTTTTCTTTTTTTTTAATTTATTTTTTAAAAATTTATATTATATTATTATTTAAACTCTGCCTGAAGATCTAGTTTCGAACCATTTTCTGAGGTACCAAATTTGACCAACGGCTATAACAACCAAAACAACCACTTCAACAATAGTCCACCAAACAACACGAGCTTTAGTTGATTATGAGGTATCTCTATTTGATTGTTCTCTGAATCTTAATTTCACGAAATACAGTTTTTCGCCAAAGTTTTGTACTGTATTAATTTGAACTACTACCCCACGGGTACATCAAAACAGAATTGTAGTATAAGACCCCCATATGGTTAGAACATATAAAGTTGCAGTTCAAATTAATAGTATAAATAAAGAAATTTCCCTTTTGCTAAGTTGGTCACCTCACGCCTTATTTACTAAATTACTATTTTCATTTTCAAAATTATTATTATTAAAACTATTATTAAAAACGTCATTTCTTTCTAAATTTGAACTATTACTTTCTAAATTACTATTTATATCACCTTGGTTATTAAATGGAAACATTTTTGAAATTTATTTTTTTTTTTTTTTTTTTTTTTTTTATATCTTCTTATTTACCAATCTCATTCAGTATAAATACCGCAAGTCCTCAGTCTAAAACTTCAGAGGTTTTTTATTCTATATTATTCAATAAACTACAATTTCATTACACATATAATATTTGTTATTTGTTGTTTATTTGTTATACTTATTTTACATATATATATACTTAATTATTTGTAAAGTGTATAGAGCTTCATTACAAAATATGTAATGAAATGACCCCTATCCGAGAGACGGTTACTGTTAGAGCTTTACTAGAGTTACAGGAATTATATAATAATGTATAATTATTACTAAGTTTAATAAAGAAATATAGTTAAATAGAAATATAGTTTAGAAACCTTTATTTAAGTATTTTAGTTATTATATTATTAATTGTTATTATTATTAGAAGTTAGAAGATGATAATAATGAATAATAAAGAATTATTACTGGAGTATTTATAGTGTCATAAACAAGTTGACATGAATGTATATATATGTTAAACATGTGACATTTTCAACTAAATATATTATTTATGGAAAACTATTACTATTTTAAGAGTTATTTATTATAAAACTAATGTAATGAAGCTCTATACAGCTTACAAATGATTAAGTATATATATGTAAAATAAGTATAACAAATAAACAACAAATAACAAATATTATATGTGTAATGAAATTGTAGTTTATTTAATAATATAGAATAAAAAAACCTCTGAAGTTTTAGACTGAGAACTTAAGGTATTTATACTGAATGAGATTGGTTCTAGAAGCTAATTCTTAAGTTATTTGGAAACACTGGAATTGGTAGTTACTAAGCAGTAGTTAGTAAACAGCAGTTAGTGACTCTTAATTAGCCTAGGGTCATAGCGTTAATATAGCGATATCATAACAGTATATATATGGTCGGACGGGGGGGCAGTTATACTACATTTTCCCCACGGTTTTGGAAATTCGACGGCACCGAATTGAAACGGCCTTGAGAGAATAAAATTCTTTTGACATTCCGAACATATTTCTTTAACAAATTATTTAATTGAGCTTGTTGCACAGCAGTGAGAATAATTGATCCATCTTGAGCGGACTGATAAACTTGGTTGTGAATTGACGGTGTACTGCTTGGATTTTGAGTTGAATGATTATCTGCATTTATAACTGTTTGTTCTAAAGATTTGATGAATGCAGGTGGTTGCTTGAATTTCTTACTGATTTTATTATTAAAGTTATTATTATTTCTATTGAACTTATTACTATTACTGGAATTGACATTATTAAAGTTGTTATTATTACTATTGAAACTATTACTATTAAAATTATTACTATTACGAGAATTTATATTATTTGACTTGATTGATGTTTGACATGTTGATGAGTGATGGTCCGGGTGTGATGATGATTGACTGAATATGCTTTCTGATTTATTGGCATATCTTACAGAGTTGATTCTATAACAATTATTATCGGGTTTGGGCTTTAAAGACTGATAATTGAGAACATTAACTGAGGTTGAATTGAGCTGAGCTGGGTTGAAATTACTATCTAGCGATGTACTATTTTCAGTGTACGAATATAACGGGACAAAACAATTAGCTTTACTACATACTAATTTACTTCTTGAAAGGATTGGGTCAGCACCAATGGCATTTAAACCGTTTAAACCTAAAATACATGACGAAGAGATATCGACATCTCTAAATACTTCTAATTCAACTTGTTCAGAAACAGGACCAAACGAAAGATTACAGATAGTTGTACCAATAGGAAGTAGTCTGTGGTTACTTACAGATTGTATGATTTTTTTACTTGAGTTAATTGAGAGATTGAGTCTTTTTGCAAGTGATTCTCTTATGCATGATAAGCTAGCACCAGTATCTATGAGAACTCTAACACCTTGATTGTTTATCTTCAAATTTGCACATACATTTTTATATCCTGAAACACTAGCGATTGTGTTGATTGTTGGCTCGACGTTTACATCATTACCTATATAGTCATTATTTAAATTACTATTATTTCTATCTCTATAATTTTGTTGATTAACATATCTATTTCTATTACTATTATTATTATTATAACTATTAAAACTTGATCTTTGATTATTACTCTTATTTCTATTTAACTGATAATTATTGTAATTATTTTGATTATATCCATTTTGATTATAATTATTATTATTCCTATGATTACTATTAATATATCTATTACTTCTATTTTGTGAAAACTTATCCTTGTTTTGACAATTTCTACTAAAGTGTCCTTCCATTCCGCACGAATAACAAACGACGGACATGTTTTGTGTATCATTACTTATACCGGCAACATTAAAACTTGGATTATTTGCATTTGCCATTGAGACATTAGGGGTTCTATTTGTACCAAAAATACCATTTAATGGTTCTTTAATTAAATATAAGGAAACTCCTTTGGATTCAGTGAAAGCGATTTCTAAGTTTCTTACTTCTTCGAGATATTCTTGATAAGTGGAGTCCTTTCTACATTTTAAAGCCAAATAATCTTTAAAATTACATCCTAAAGCTTGGTTTAAAAATGTGATTGCTGCTTCATCTGGTAAATTACTTCTTTTCTTTACTATTGAGAATACAAGTAGCAAGGCATCTAATGATTTAAATTTATTTTCTCTAGAAAAATTAGAGAATCTATCCAAGACGACACTTGGACTATCTTGATAATATCTTCTTAACCTGAGAATATTATCTTCTACGGAATTTGAATTAAACGGGTCAATAGATCTTAATCTATCTATTGCACTACCACGCAAACTGGAGAGTAAGTTAGCACTTGTTGGTCTAACAAAATGATGTCTAAATAAGAATTCAAATAAATCCCAATTCTTATCGAACTCTGCTTTATTAGCTCCATCAAATTTAGATTCTTCTGGAAATGGAGTACGATTTGGTTGAAAATTTAATTCCTTCAATATTTTCATCTGATTGTTTATCAATTCCATCATTTTTAGTTCTTGTTCTTTTAACTTGGCATTATTTGAGTTATTATTTACTGTAGGTTTTTTCTGGGATGGTGGAATGATACCTGTAGGTTTTACAGTAGGATTTGTGGCTTCCGCTTTAACTTGATAATTATTTTTAACTTTATTATTTACTAAATTACTATTTTCATTTTCAAAATTATTATTATTTAAACTATTATTAAAAACGTCATTTCTTTCTAAATTTGAACTATTACTTTCTGAATTACTATTTATATCACCTTGGTTATTAAATGGAAACATTTTTGAAATTTATTTTTATTTTTTTTTTTTTTTTTTTTTTATATCTTCTTATTTATGAACCGACAAATTAATTAAAAATAAAATTTTTTTTTTTTTTTTTTTTTTTTTTAAAATTTTAATTAATTTTTTTAAAAATTTAAAATCTTCCGAATATTGTGTGGAGAGGTTAACACACTTTAACAAACAATTAAAAACAAATAAACTACTACAATTATTACTATACTTAAAACAAAACTGGGGTTAACACATAAAATTACCTGAATTAAAAACTTGAACAAAATATCTTTATCACACAAAAGATTACAATAATTAACTAAACAATAAAAGAGATAAATAACCTAATTCTCTTCCCCCAAAAAATTTAAAACAAACGCAAAACGAGACAAAACAGATTCTGATGAGCTGTCGCCAAAATGTAATGAAGCTCTATACAGCTTACAAATGATTAAGTATATATATGTAAAATAAGTATAACAAATAAACAACAAATAACAAATATTATATGTGTAATGAAATTGTAGTTTATTTAATAATATAGAATAAAAAAACCTCTGAAGTTTTAGACTGAGAACTTAAGGTATTTATACTGAATGAGATTGGTTCTAGAAGCTAATTCTTAAGTTATTTGGAAACACTGGAATTGGTAGTTACTAAGCAGTAGTTAGTAAACAGCAGTTAGTGACTCTTAATTAGCCTAGGGTCATAGCGTTAATATAGCGATATCATAACAGTATATATATGGTCGGACGGGGGGGCAGTTATACAACACTAATTTATAACTCATCCCCGTTGGTCTAGTGGTGAGGATTTTCGCCTGTCACGCGAAAGGCCCGGGTTCAATTCCCGGACGGGGAGTCATTTTTTATGTTACAATCTTCCAGAAGATTATTTTAACGAAATGGGAGCAATTATGAACCATTGATTGTAATAGTATTCATATGCATTTGCAAATTATCCTATGGATCAAGGAGGTTGGAATCTTTGGAATATCAAAAACAGACAAAAAGCACAAAGATTATGGATGATAAATCAAATAATCAATAAAATTGAAACTAACAAAATAGAATCAGAATATCAACACAGGTGGAAATATCAAATATTAACCAAAACAATAACTTCAGATTACCTATTTAAAAACTACAATGATTGGATACAAATAAAAGTTAAAAAAGGACTACTAGACGGGTTGAAATCCATTAAAAATAAAGACGGCAAACCTCTTTCTTTAGCAGAATGGTATTCGGAAATAAACAATCTCAACAGCTTTACACCCAAAACAGAATTCCAACAATGTCTTCAACTTACAGGTTATAGCTACATCAACCTATTCAATAATATACTTAATATTAAAGATCCAAAATCAAGAAACACTCTATTCAAATTCCAAGCAAGATGCTTACCCATCAACTTCATTCACAACAAACCATGTAGACTATGTAATGAAAATCTTAATAATGATCCATATGGTCATCTATTTTTCAAATGTGAAAAAACTCTGAAATTCATCAACTTCAATAAACTAAAATCATTTATATTCTTTACTTCAGGAAGGGGCCTCAATTGGTCACTGGACATAACAAGATCAAGAAGGAATATATCAATAAAAAATATTACATACAAAATCCCAGAAGGTCGCAAATCCGATGGAGAAATAAATATGGATTACAACAACACCAGATTCCACAAATCACACTTCCAATGGAACTATAAAGCAATAGATTTCGACTTAACTAGATGTTTCGCTTATATAAATGCCATAGCCCTGGTATTTCATCAAGTTTACATGTAAAGAATTATATGACGATCAAGAAAATACAATAAAAGAACTCGATTATAAGAATCTAACCTCAAAATGGACTAAACTAGCTACTTTAGAATACTTAAAAGGTTTAAAAAACATCAAGGAAAGACACGCTAAACAACCACAAACAATTAGCAACATCAATGAAGAATATAGAAAATTCAAAAGAAGAATAGCAAGAGCATACTTCATCAGCATCAAATCTTTACCAAATATCAACAGTTTAGAATATTTTCTTTAAAAACATTATAAAAAACATTAAATAAAATTTTACTGATTAATTTAAAGCATTTGCTTTTAATTATCTTCACTTTTAAAAAAAAAAAAAAAAAAAAAAAAAAAACATATGCATTTTAGAATTAAATGAATATTACAGTTATAATTATATCTCAACTAAATAATATATTTATATTTTCCTTTATTTTAAATAATTTATTATTTAAAATTAAAAATTAAAAATAAAATAAAAATAAAAAAATTGAAAAATTTAAAAAATAAAATTTTATTTTTTAGTTTTTAGTTTTCGGTTTTAGTTTTCACAAACAAAGAATTGTATATTTATTTGATTATTAGAATTATTTATATTTATTATTTATCTATAACTAAAGTAGCTCCATCTACATTACACTTTTTTTTTTTTTTGAAATTTCCCCCACCACACCTGAAGTATTTTGATTTTGATTTATTTGATGTATTTGTTTATTTGTTTAGTGCTGCAGTGAAATTTGTGTTTTGATTTTGATGAGTGGTTAAAAAATCATTAATTTAGTGAACTACCAGACAATGAAAGAAGCCCCATGCAGAATCATCAGATGGTTGGATTTGGTCAGTAGGTTCCAGTTTGAAATCAGGCACATAAAAGGCGAATTAAATTACGTTGCAGATATGTTAAGTAGAGACGCTAGGTTTTATTTAGATTGGGATAGCAGCTTTTTACAACAAATTAGAAATGGGTATAATAGCGCATCGGAAAGAGATGGGAAATGGTTGGAAGCATTTAAGACAAGAACTGATTTGGTTATAGAAGAGGAGGGTATATTGTATTATAAAGATCCAAATACTGAAACTAGAAGAGTTATTATTAAAGGTAAAGAACAAATAACAACAATTTTAGATGAAGCTCATTCAACTATGTACTCAGGCCATCCAGAATGTCAGAAGGTCAAGGTAAAACAAAGTAAACATGGGTTATTAAATTCATTATCAATTCCAGCAAGACCGTGGGACGATATTTCAATGGATTTTATGAACTTACCGATTACAGAACAAGGAAATGACTGTGTATATGTCATTGTCGATAGATTAAGTAAGATGGCGAAGTTAATACCATGCAAAAAGACGATAACAGCAATTGAAGCAGCCAGAATATTTTGGGATAATATAGTATGTAGCTATGGTTTACCAATCTCCATAGTGTGTGATAATGATAAATTATTCACTGCCGAAATCTGGGATCAATTAATGGAATTGGGAATGGTTATGAAAACTACAGCTCCAGCAAGGCCGCAAGCAGATGGTCAAACAGAAAGAATGAATCGTACAGTTAAGGAAATTTTAATGAAGAGTACAAAGAACAGGTTAAGATGGGACATAGAAATTAAGAACATAGAATTAGCAATCAATAGTTCAATTAATTCATCAACGGAATTATCACCAATGAGTGTTGTATATGGTTTCGAACCTAGGATGCCTATTAGTATCAATACTCAATATAATATTCACTTCACAGAAGCTTTAGTGCATTACCGTCAAGTAGCTCAAAATAATATGTTAGAAGCTCAGATTTCACAATCAATTTAATACAACAAAGATAGAGAGAATATTATATACGAACTAGGTGATTGGGTATTAGTTAAACGTTCAAAATTAAATACTTTCAAAGGTCTCAAGGTAGAAGAACAATTAAAGTTATTACCAAATTATTGTGGTCCATTTAAGATCGTACAAAGGCACTCGAGGATCAATTACAAAAACAGGTTATCAAATGTTAAAAAGGGTAGTACACGTGGATGATATCAAACCTTATATTGAAGAAGACAGGGTATTATTCGACAACAGAAGGAAGAGGACACACATACCGTTAGGCGATGAAATAGAGTCAATTATCGAGAAAAGAAATAGAAGATATGGTAAAGGTTCAAGAATTGAATATCGTATTAGATTCAAGAATGCTTCAGAAGACCATGATATATGGGTTCCACTCCATTATTTAGACGAGGTTGCTCAACTGGTTAAAGATTTTGAAAAGAAATTAATAGATTCAGGTATTCCACTACAGAATGATTTTTTAACCACTCATCCAAATCAAAACACAAATTTCACTGCAGCACTAAACAAATAAACAAATACATCAAATAAATCAAAATCAAAATACTTCAGGTGTGGTGGGGGAAATTTCAAAAAAAAAAAAAGTGTAATGTAGATGAATCATCTGCAAAACCTTGAAATTTGATTCTTCTGTTTGTGTTGTCTAAAGGAAGTCCAATTATTGATTTATCTTCTAGTATAGATCTAGCCAAAGCTTCGATTACCATTACATAAAGAGTCGGTGATAAAGGATCTCCTTGTTTTACTCCTCGTCCTATTATGAATTTATCAGTATTTTTACCATTTATTTCTATTTTTGCAAAGGAATTGGTAGTAGTTGCATAATAAGATTTATTAGCTTGGTTGGTACTTGAATGTGTAATAGTGTTCTGTATATGGCATCGTGAGATATAGAGTCAAAAGCTTTCTCAAAATCATAGAAAGTAATGATTCCTGGTAGTTTGTTTTTGATACAATATTTGATTATTTCATTTACTGTCATTATATTATCAGTAATTTTTCTGCCACCAGTAAAACCTTTCTGATTGGGGTTAATTATATCAGGAAGAATAGACTATTCTGTAATCTATTGTTGATAACCTTAGATTGTATATTTATTTGATTTTTAGAATTTATATTTATTATTTATCTATAACTAAAGTAGCTCCATCTACATTACAAAAGGTTGATTTTTTTCCAATTGTATATATATTCAAAAAAAAAATTTTGGGAATAAATATTTTTTAAAATAAACCTTTTATCAACTTTACCAAAGATCTCATCAAGTGATTTTTAAAATTTAACCATAAATATTATTTTTTAATTTTATTTTAAACACAGCCCCAAAATTTTAAAAAAAAAAAAAAGAAAAATATTATTATAATGAATTATTAATAGCTCTATCTTTTCTTTAACTGTTTGGATTTTTTTTCAATCTTGTTGCTTTCTCTTAACTCCTCTTTTCTTTTATGTGTTTCTTTGTTGCAAATTGATTTTAGCTTTTCCAAACTCCAATCATTCATTTTTTTTGTAAACCGTCAAACTCTCCTGAAGATTCAAAATGCCCATTATATTGTTTGAAAAAAAAATTAATTTTTAACAAAAAAAGATAAACCAAAAAAAAAAAAAAATTAATTTTTAAAAAAAAAAAAAAACAAAAAATAATTTTTTCACAAAAAAAACAAAAAAAATTTAATTTTCCAGTGTTCATTAATAATTTTCAATAGTTACATGTAAAAACAATAATACTCACACACAATCTTGGTGGTTATAAAAAACTGCCCCCTAATGAAGTTTTTAATGTAAGTTGTCAAATATTTCAATCAATCTTTAATAATTTTTTAAGATTATTTATATTATTTTAAAATTTTTTTTTTTAATAATTGATTATAAATTTATTATTTATATTTTATTCATCTTCATTTATTAATAACAAATAAATATTTTTTTTTCATATTATATATATAATACCTAATGTCTGTTTCAAAAAAAATACAACCACTTGACTATTTCTCAGAAATAAAAAACTGGCCTGATATCGAAAATGCTGTAAAGGAAAACAAAACTGTAGAGGATGCTGTTAATAGTAACCTTCAAACCTATGTAACTATCAATGTATCCCAAGCTATGAAACAATTAGCAACAGTTGGGTATGTATTTAAATATGCAATATTCACTCTTTAATTATTATAAACTAGTACTAACTAGTTTCTTTAAAAAATCATATAATAGTGACCTCTTAAAGATAGCCTATGCAGCCTCAAAAGATTTCCCAAGCAGTGTACCAATTATTGGAATTCTCGGTAGTTATCAATCAATGATTAATGATACAGTTAATACATCTTCAAATTTTGTAATGTTATGTATTGACAGTATTGAATTCTACAATATTGCTCTTAAATTTGCAAATAAAAAAAAACTTGCCAAATCAATTGAAATCATTGGTAGAGCAGCTAAAAAAGCAAAAGAAATGGCCACAATATCTGACACTTTGGTTCAAAAAGCTGAAAATCTTGTACAATTATCAATGGATGCTTTAAAAACCGCAACAAATGACCAGGTCAAATCTGTTGAGGAATTAAAAGAAAATGAAAAGAAACAAGGTGAATTGAATGCTAATGCAGAGAGTCTTAAAAGTGAAATCGCATCATTAAAGGGTCAAGTAAGTGTATTACTTTTTAAATTTGAACCTAATTATATCATATTAATTTATTATAAATCGAATAGATTGAAGAAATGAAAGATTTAGCAGACAAAGCCGGTAAAGAAGCTGAGGAAGAACGTAAAATGTCATTTATCATTAGAATTATTGGTGCTGTTGCTGAACCACTTTCACAAGTAAGTTATTCATTAATAATAATTATTTAACCATAAAAAATATTTATTTATTTTTTTTCAAAACACAAGCTTGCTGGTCCTATGATTGCTGCATATAGTGGCGCTCCACCAACAGGTGCCATTAAGAACATTTTTGGTGGTAAAAAAGATAAAGATGAAACCAAACAAGATCCAACGGATGATGCTGCTACCAAAGTAACAAACAAACAAAAAAAATTAAAGAAACAAAAGGAGGAAAAAGAAGAAGAGTTAGAGAAAAAAGTAAAAAGAAAATTTTTTATTTTTATTATTAAAATTAAAATAAATACTAATGTTATAAAAAAATCTATTTAGGAAAAAGAAGAAAAGAAACTTGAAGAAAAAGAAAAGGATGGCTCCATTACAGAAAAAGAAAAAAAAAAAAAGAAACTCTTAGGTGATCAAATTGATGAAATTAAAAATGCAATTGAAAAACTTGGTAACAATATTTCAAATGTCTCAAATGAAATTGCTGATGAAATGAAAGAAAAAGCTGCCAGATCAGAAAATTGTGAAATGGAATATAGAAAATTAAAAAATTCATACCAAGATTTACAAAGGTAATTAAAACTAAAGAACATTTAACACTTATTGTTTTCTTTTATCTAATTATATTGATTTCATAAACAGAAATGCCAATGCTAACTTAGCAAAGAACTTAAAAGAACTTCAAAATCTTTCAAGAGAAGAGAGTCATTTAGAAGTTAGTATTAAATCATTAGAAATTGTAATTAGTACCATGGGTAAAGTTAAGACTATCTTTGAAAACACAAGACTCTTTTGGTTACAAGTATGTATATGTAAATTTATTTCGATAGTTATCAAGATACTAATTTATTTATATTTACTTAAATAGGTTGAATCCCATTGCAAACGTCTTTCAAAGATTTCTGCTATTGAGGATATGAAAGATTTAGCTGAGGATGACCCAGGTAAATATATTTTATATAATATAATAATATTATTAATGATTTTTGATTATTGGTATTAACTATTTTATTAAACCAAAAAATATAGATGAATTAGTTGATTTCCAAAATGAAATTAAAAAATCAGGTATGAGTTGGTTAGCTTTAGCCTATGTCAATCAAACCGCTGCAACTGCAATCATTAGCATAAAGGGTAACTTTGATGAAGTAATGAACAACCTTCCATCAAGAGATGAAGCCAAAAGGATTGTTGAGAATTGTACTGCTCAACTTGAGGTAGAATTAGAAAAAGAAAATAAACAAATCGATGCTACCAAAGAAAAACTTAATATCACCCCTGCCTCAAAACTAGATCCAACTTTAGAGTAAACTCTTTTTTGTCTTTTCACCATTTTAATTTAAAAAAAAAATTAATTATACAAAAAAAAAAATAATCTTTAATTCTTATATATTAAAATTAATTATATTTAATAAAATAAAAAATAAATTGTTTTGAATTAGAAGTGACTTTTTATTATTATTATTATTTAATAGACCATTTATCACTATATGTATCGAACTGAATTTTATTATAAAATTTTAATAATGACATATTTTAAATAATAATAACAATAATAATAATTTTAAATAATTACTTTAATGATTATATAAAAAAAAATTACCAATATGTTTCTATGAAAAAAAAAAAAAAAAAAAAGAAATAGCAACCATTAATGAAAGGAGAAAACAAGTATTCAAAGCACAATTCTCTTCACTATAATAAAGGGAGCTATATTTGCTACAAAACATATTGATTACAGCTTTTTGGATGTCATAACATACAAGTTTTCAGAATCTTACATAAACAGATGTTACAATACCCAAAATTATATATATATATATTATAAATATACAGAATTATATATATATATTAATTATATTTCTTTCCTAAATTAACCTTTTAAATTCCAAAAGTTTTATTATGAATTTTTAATAAATAAATTTCCTTTTTAAAAGTTAAAAAATTTATTTCGGTAATTATAATAAAATTTACCCAAAAAAAAAAAAAAAATATTTTAAAAATAAAAAAAAAATATTTTAAAATTTTTTTTTTTTTTTAGATCATTATCTAAATAGTTTTATTTTATCTTTGCTGCCTTATAATTTTTTTTTTATTAATAAAATCTGTAATATAAAGATAAAATTGTAAAATAATAGATTCAAAATTGTGGTTATATTATACGCATAGAAAAATATAGAAAAATATAGAAAAATATGGAAAAGTTAAAAGGTAAATAAAATTATATTATTTTATTTTTTAAATTAAGTTATCAGTAAACTATTGTTATAAATATTTATAATAATTGTTTATTATTCAATTTTTTAAATTATAATTACAAGTATACTCATTTTATTTATTTTAACAATAACAATATTTTAAAATGAAGAACGAGCAAAGTAGCAACAACTCTGTTGCAATTGTTGGAGTAGGTTTTAGATTACCTGGTAACTCAAATGATACAGCATCATTATGGGACAATTTAATAAATAAGTTTGATGGGATTGTTGATTCAACAGAAAGATGGAGTGACAATTTTACAACAAATGGCGATATTAAAAGTAATCAGGCCGGTTTAATTTCAATGGAAGAAATTAAGAATTTTGATCCACTAATGTTTTCAATTTCTCCATCCGATGCACCAAGCATTGACCCACAACAAAGGTTGTTGTTGAAATGTATGTAATCGAGTTTTTTTTTTTTTTTTTCAAGATTAATTTATTAATTCAATTTATAATAGGTACATGGGAAGCATTGGAGGATGCAAATTGTGACCCAATCAAATTAAGAGGCTCAAATACTAGTGTTTACGTTGGTATATCAACATTCGACTACTTATCTATTATGAGAAACCCTGAAGAAACTTTACCAAATGTTTTTGGTTCATCTTTTCACTCGGCTTCAAATAGAATTTCCTATTGCTTTGATCTTAGGGGCCCATCTCTTTCGATCGACACTGCATGCTCATCATCACTCAATGCAATCGATTTGGGTTTCAAATCAATAGTGGATGGATATTGTACTTACTCTGTAGTTGGAGGGGCAAGTCTGTTATTTGATGCTATATTTTGTAAAGCATTCTCACACTTAAATATGCTTGGTGAAGGTGGTAAAAGTAGAACATTTAGCGCAGATGCTGACGGTTATGCAAGAGGTGAAGGTGTTGGCGTTGTTATATTAAAGAATTTAGAACAAGCTATAAAAGACGGAGATAAAATCTATTGTTTAATTGATGGCATCAATTCTAATTCTGATGGTAATTATGATAAAAATAGTTTTTATGCTCCATCCAAAACAGGTCAATCCAACAACATCAAAACAATGTTTAATAAATGTAATGTTAAACCTCAAGAAATCTCGTTTGTAGAATGCCACGGTACAGGTACACCCACAGGAGATCCAATCGAAGTAGAAGGTATTTCAATGGCCTTCTCTAAATATCATTCAAAAGAAAATCCATTACTAATTGGTTCTATTAAATCAAATATTGGTCATTTAGAAGGTAAATTTAATAATTATTTTAAAATATTTTTTTTAAACATGTTCTAATATTAATTTTTTATTAATTTCAGCTTGTTCTGGTATTGCATCAATAGTTAAGTGCTGCTTGATGCTCAAACATCGTCAATTTGTTCCAAATATTAATTTTAATGAACCAAACCCCAATATAAAGTTTGATGAGTGGAATGTTAAAGTTATTACAGAGAATACACCATTTCCAAATGATAAACCAGTTTCTTTAATGATTAATAACTTTGGCATTACTGGATCAAATGTATGCATTGTATTATCTGAATATAAAAATCAAAAACCAACAGCTAATGAAAAACCTCAATCAGATAAATTTTATTTAGTACCATTTTCATCAAATAGCAAACAATCATTAAACAACTATTTTTCAAAAATAATAAGTGATTATATTTACTATTCAGATAATGTCAGTTTGAATGATTTTGTTCACTACCAATCAGATTCCAAGTCAGTAAAATTATACCAAAGAGCAGTCTTATTAGCAAATAAATGGCAAGATATCAAAAACAATGATAATATAATTAAAACAAAGAATAATATAACTTCAAATTTAAAAATATCAAATGAATCAAATAAAGATACAAATATATGCTTTGTTTTTAGTGGTCAAGGTACTCAATGGAACCATATGGGTGAACAGTTATATAAAAATGATTCTTATTTTAAACAAACAATTGATCTTATAGATGAAAAGCTTTCAAATTATTTTGGTTATTCAATACTAGAAAGACTAAAATCCATACAAGATGGTGATATTTCAATTAACGAGCCAATTATTGCACAACCATCCATTTGTATGATTCAAATTGCCTTATTTGAATCTTTAACAAAACAATGGGGTGTTTCTCCAAATTTTATTATTGGCCATAGTTTAGGTGAATTAACTGCACAATATTGCTCTGGGTCTATCGATTTAGATACCCTATGCTACATACTGTACCATAGATCAAAAGCGCAACAAAAAACAGTAGGTTCTGGTAGAATGCTCTCAATTAATATCAGTGCTGACCAATATATAAAAGAATATTCAAATCAATACCCATCAATAGAAATATCATGTTATAATTCACCCAACTCTATAGTTATTGGCGGTGATGAAGATTCTTTAAAAAAAATTCAAAAAACATTAAATGTTTTTAACGCATTTTTAAGTACGCCATCATCATTCCATACATCATCTCAAGATTTAATTAAACAAGACCTATTGAGCTTAGAGTTTAATTCAAATAAACCCTCTATTCCGGTACTATCAACTGTTGATAAAGATTTCTTTAATGGTGAAACCATTACATTTACTCCAGAGTATTGTTATAGAAATGTTAGAGAGTCAGTTTACTTTACAGAAACAGTAGAAAAACTCTATCAACACATTGAATCTACTCAACTAGGAAATAATTTAATTTTTATTGAAATATCACCACATTCAGCCTTGACTTTTCATTTAAAACAAATAGAACCAAATGAAGATACCAAATATTTTAATAAAATTACAATTTTAAATACACTAAACAAAAACAAAACAGATATCAATCAAATGTTTAATTTATTATCAACATTATATTGTAATCATAATATCGAAGTCAATTTTAAAAATCAATTAAATAACTTCAACACATCATATAAATTGAAAGATTTAAATTTACCCAAATACCAGTGGGATGACAAAGAGTTTTGGTGTGAAGATATTGATAGTTTAGACTATAGATCAAATGGTCCACCTGTCGAATTGCTTGGTAACAAAAATATAAAAACACCACTAATGTCATATAAAACAGTGATCAATGTAGAGAAGAAACAATTTCAATACTTGAAAGGCCATCAAGTTAAAGGAAAGTACTATTTGCCAGGATGTTCATATATTGAAAATATAATATCAAGTTTCCCAAACCAAGATTTGATTATAAACTATTTGGAATTTAAAAAACCTGTAATATTAATGGAAGGTGTTAGAAAACAACTACAAACAAATATTTCACAAATTTCAAAAAAAGATTATAGAGCACAATTTCATTATTATGAAACAAATTTAAACAAATGGATAGAATCATCTAGCGGCAATGTTCAACTATTCAATTTTAACAACCCAAAAGAAAAGAAGATGAATATCGAATACTTAAAATCAATTTGCAATCTAACAACTTTAAGTAAAAAAGATTTTTATACACATGTCAAATCTAAAACTGGCTTATCATACTCTGGCTATTTTCAATCAATTAAAGAATGTAGATTAGGGAATAATGTAGTTTTAAACACTGTTCCATATACAATAATTGGTGACAACATCAATACAATTATAAACTGTGCATTATTGGATAGTTGTATGCATGGTGCCATGGTTTTTATTCAGGACCAATGTAATCTTGTATTTGAAAGTGTTAAAAATATCAAGTTTTATTCAAGCAATTTATCAAAGAACTATGCCAAAGACTTACTTGTATTTATTGAAAATAAAGGTAGAAAGGGTGATTCTTTTGGATTTAAAACAACTATCATGCTGGAAGATGGTACTATTGTAATGGAAATTGAATTGGGAAATATGAAATCAATGACACCCGTTATAGACTCTTTAAAAATCGAATACCCAACCACAAATGATTTCCAAACATCATATTTACAATTAAAAGACAGCGAAGTCGAAATTATATTTAAAGATATAAATAATAATCAAGATGTAAATAACATAGAACTTGATACCTTATCACAAGAAAAAATGGCAATTAAATTTGAACCACAAGAATTAAGCAAATATTCAAATTATCAACAATCAATTGTAGATTCTATAAAAGAATCGTTAAAACCGCTAATAAAGAAAAGAAATGTAATTAGAATAATTGAATTTGGTGGTAATACAGGTTCACTTTCATTCAGTATTTTAAATGGTATAACTCAGCTATTAGAAGATGAATTTAATGGTGGTTTTAATGAAATCGAAATCGAATATACATGGAGTGATGAATCTACAATTTATGTTGAACAAGTTAAAGAAAGACTCTCATTTTTCAAAAAAGGAAATGTTATATTAAAAAAATTAAATTTAAATCAAAATTTATGTCCATCACAAGAACTTAAACCCAACTATTATGATATTGCTCTTATTTCAAACTCAATCTTTACTGTTAAAAACTTTCAATTTAGCATAATAGAAATTAACAAAATATTAAAGAATAATGGAAGCTTAATGATATTAGATTTAATATTCAACTTACCTTTTTACAACACATTTTATAGTATATTTGACGAATGGTGGCAATTAAAAAAAAGAAACAATTTAACAAATGATGAATGGCAAAATATATTAAATAATAATAATTTCAATAATGTAAAGATAATAAATAATAATGATAACCCACATATAGTATATTCACAAAAGAATGAATGTTTAGGCACAGATGAAAAGGAGCCAAAAAATATAATTCTATATTCAGATAATCAATCTTTAAATTCAGAATTTATTAAAAATAGCCCAAATAATTACTTCTCTATCAAAACAATTGAAGAATTTAATCAAATTAAAAAAAAAATTGATCAAAATACAGCTATATACTTCTTGAAACCAATTAATGATATGGGTTTAAATAATTTTAAACAAGTAACATTAGAGTATATTAAAATTGCACAATTTATTATAGAAAACAAATTAAATACCAAACTCGTACTGGCTTCATCAAATTGTTATTCAAAAGAATCATCAAATTACTTGGCTGCATCTATAATTGGGGTTTTTAAAAATCTAATAGATCAATTTCAACAACTGTTATTCTTTTCTTTGGATTTTGATAATGAATCCCTAAAGAATGAAAAAAATGTAGTTTCTGTGATAAAAAAATTAACCGATACAGATTATAGTATCGAAAGAGAATTTATTATTAGAAACAATAAAGTTTATATAGAGAAACTCAAAGATGAAACAAATATTTATCAAAAGTATCAATCAGAATCAATAGAAAATCAAATAGTTTCAAATGACCATTTATTTGCAAAATTAAATGAAAATTTAGAATTTGAATTACAATCAAAAAAGCAATTAGAAGATGACCAAGTTGAAATTGAAACAAAAGCAATTGGTATCAATTATAAGGATTATTTAGTGTATACTGGCCATATATCATCTGATGCTGAAGATAACTCGGCTCAATTTGGTATAGAATATTCTGGTATTGTTAAAGATATTGGTTCAAATGTTACCGAATTTAATGTTGGTGATAGGGTTTATGGAATGGGACATGCCACATCATCAAGTATCAATATTGTAAATAAAAACCACTTGTGCCATATGCCAAGCAATACTACTTTTACCGAAGCTGCATCAATACCTACAGTTTATTTAACATCATACCATTGTCTATTCAAGGTGGGTAATCTAGATATTGAAGAGCAAGAGTCAATTTTAATTCATTCAGCTTCTGGTGGAGTTGGTTTATCAATGATAGAAATTCTAAAATGGAAAGAGTTTAAAGGAAATCTATTTGTAACAGTTGGTTCAAATGAAAAAGAGGATTATTTAATCAATAGATATGGCTCATTTATTACAGGTATTTTTTCATCAAGAAACAAGGACTATGTAGTTCAAATAAAAGAAAAACTAAAACAATTAGGCTCAAATAAATCAGGTGTAGATATAATTATTAATACTTTACCAAGTGAATTTTTAGAATCAAATTTCCAATGTTTAAATCCATGTGGTAGAATCGTTGACCTTTCAATTACACATTTAAATCCTAATGAATACATGACCAATAACAACTTTAGATTCAATTTATCGTACGCAAACATTGAACTATTAGTACTTGATTTTTCATATCTATGCAAAATATTAAAAATTATAAGCACTGAAATTTCAAGCGGTAAACTAATCCCCATTCCAATTTCCGAATACTCAGTATTAAATGTTAAAAGTGCTATCGAATATATTAATCAAAGAAAGCATATAGGTAAAATTGTAGTCAATTATGAAGACTTTAATATTAAAAACTATTTAATTGCAAAACAAGAACAAAAACAAGAAGAAATTGAAAAAGTACCCATTATCAAATCAAACTATGCAATCAGTAAAGAACTGGGTGAAACTGTTTTAGTAACAGGTCAAACTGGTATAATATTAGAGATCATCAAATGGATAACAAAATATTCAAAATCAGTTAAAAACATTATTATATTATCAAAATCATCACTAAAATGGGAACTACAACTATTAATCAATCTAAACAAACACAAAATAAATTATTATTTCAAGAGTGTAGATGTAGAAAACTATGACCAAATTGAAGACAGTGTTTCGCAAGTAATGAATGAAAATGGACATATCAAAACAATTCACTCAATATTCCACTTTGCATTCGCATTTTTAACAGTTGACCCATTAGAACTAAACATTAGACATTTAGATATTTCGCATGGTGCAAAAACTATTGGTGCAATCAATTTACATAATCTATCAATAAAACACAAATGGGAAATCAAAAACTTTATTATGGCATCATCAATAGCAACTTTATTGGGCAACCACAACCAAAGTACCTATATTAGTGCTAACAGTGTTTTAGAATCTCTAGCCAATCATAGAAAATCACTTGGATTACCAGCATTAACGGTAAATTGGGGACACATCGGTTCGACAGGTATTGTTTCAAGAAATGATTCAGTTGGCGAATTTTTAGAAGGTATTGGGTTAGAACCATTAGAATCCAATATGATTTTCGGTGCATTGGATCTTTTCATTCAAAATAAAGCAACTCTTCAAAATGACTATAATAAAACCATAATAAGCAAAGTAAATTTAGATATTTTGGCATCAAGTAACCTTTATAATCACAAAATTGACTATAAAGTAAATATTTTCTTTAAAGATAAAAAAGCAAAAGAAAACGAAGATAACCGAGGATTTGAAGCTATCCAAAGAAAGGTTTTATCAAAAATATCAGAACTTTTAAATATAAATGAAAACAATGTAAACACTAAACTTAAAATTTCAGAATTTGGTGCAGACTCTTTAGTACAAGTACAAGTTAAAAACTGGGTAGATAAAGAATTTAAAAAGAATCTATTCAGTATTTTAGAATTACAAAATCATACAATTGAATCAATAATTAAAAAACTGAGTACTTAATTTTAAATAAAAAAACATTTAAATATTTTATAAACCAAGCTTTTTTTTTTAAATTTTATATTTATTTGTTTATTTATTTTGTTTATTTATTTAAAATCAAATGTTAATAGATGTACTATTAATAAGGTTGCTGAAGATAATGCAACAAAAGTTACATTATAAAAATACTTTATATTATAAGTTTTATAATATAAACATTCGCTTAATATGAAAGGATAGTTTATTAGTAATGTTGAAAAACAGGCCAATACTGAATAAAAATTCTCTGTTGAAAATGCAGCTATTAGTGTTATTATGGCATTTGTTAATGTATATACACCAATACATCTGCAGACGAACGGAGTTGCTATTATAAATTTAACATTATATTAGTATTTGTAATGCAAATAAAAATATATTTTTGGATTATTAAAATTAAACACAAACCATATTTTTTATCACTAAAACCATTATATATTTTTTTGTTGAATGTTAAAAACAAAGCAGCATATATAACTCTATATAAACCTAATAAAAATAACCAAACTTTTAATACTATTAAAAACATCTTTAGTTTCTCTCTTTCTTTTTTTTTTCTTTATATTATTATTTAATAAATTAAAAACATTTAACAGTTTATATTTAAAACTTTTTTTTTATATTTATTATAAAATTTAATAAAAAAAAAAAAAAAAATTTAAAAAAGGTGTGGTTTATTTTAAAAAGATAAATAGTAGATCCAATAATATCTTGTAGTTTAATTAATTTATAAATAATTATTAGAAAAATAAATCATTTTGTGAATTTATATATATGGGTGTGTTTAATAAAAAAAATAATATTTTTAAAAAAATTTTGAATTGTTTTTTTTTTAAAATATTTTTTTTTTATTTTTTTCATTTTTCATTCCATTTTTATTTTCAATTAATATAATTAATAAAAAACAAAAAAAAAGGAATAGTGGAAATGGCTTCGATTTATTTAAATTTATATAATACAACACAAACAGTTGGTTGGTACTATACTGTATTTAATATGTTATGGAGGGCTTGGAGATTAGGTTTTTGGGAATCAATCGACACCACATTTACAGCAGTAGGACCAATGGTATGCACTTTACAAATATTAGCATTTTTAGAAATTTTCAATGTATTATTAGGAATAACCAAATCAAGTGTAGGACCAACTTTAGCACAAGTATTAGGTAGAAATCATGTTCTCTTAGTCGCATTAATTTTTGTACCAGAAGTTTACACTCATTGGGGTGTAGCTTTGATGTTCTTTATTTGGGGTTTATCGGAATTAATTCGTTATCCATTATATTTATATACCATCAATAACTCAACTCCTCCACAATTCTTACAATTTTTAAGATATAATGCATTTATAATTTTATACCCAATTGGCTTTGCTGCTGAAAGTAATTATTATTATAAATAATAAATAATAGTAATTAAAATTTGTATATTAACAGCTTCCTTTTTTTTTTTAAATTTTAGATGTCCTTTGGTATAATATGTTGCCATATATTAAAGAAAGAGAAATTCATTCAGTTCGTTTACCAAATTCAATTAACTTTGGATTTGATTATTATTATTTTGTAATTTTTTGGATTTGCACAACTTTATTAGTTTTCCCATTCCAATACATGTTTATGTTTAAATTAAGATCCTTAAAAAATAAGAAAAAAACAAATTAAATAAACTAAATAAAATAAAATAAAATATTTTTTAATTCCTTTTCTATTTTTTTAAAATATTATTTTTAGTTTAAACTTTTATTTTTATAAAAATAAAAGTGTATAAACGAAATAAAATTTATGGGAGAGAACTGTTGTAAAAGCAAACCATAAATACTGCTAATTGATCAGTTTTAAAATCTTTTTTAGAAATAAGGGGTGGGGGAAAAATATATAAAAAAAAAGAAAAATTAATCTAAAAATTAATTGAAAAAAAAAAAAAAACGAAAAAATTTTTTCTTTTCTTTTATTTTTTTTATTTTTTAAATTAAAATGAATAATATTAAAAATTTAAAACTATTAATAAATGTATCACCAAACTTTGAAGTATTACTAGAAAATGAAATTAAATCAATATTAAAATCAAATAAATTACAGGTACCATCTATAAAAAGATACAGTGGATCAATTGAATTTACAATACCCAAAATAGATACACAATCACAACCACAACCAAAACTATCAAAATATAATAAATATAATAAATATAATAAAAAAAACGAAACCAATAATAACAATAACAGCAATAACAATGGAGATAATAGCGAAGAAGAGTTATTGAAACTATCAAAATACATATGGGCCATCAGCAATTGCAGTAGATTATCAGAATCGATAAGAATCAGAGTAGGTGATTCTTTTATTTCTAAAAATTTTAATCAGTTAAAAAAAGGCATGGAAGAAATCGGAACGGAAGAATATATAAAGTTTTTTACAAGTTCAAATAAACCACCTCAAGTTTCAGTTAGCTGCTCATCATCAAAACTTTATCATAGCGAAGCTGTAAAAGAAAGATTTTTAAACTTTTTTAAAGAAACCATAACAAAGGAAATCCAATCAGAAAGCAATAGCAACAAATTAAAGCCAATTAAAAAGATATTAAAGAATTTACACTATAAAAAAAGAAAGCAGCAACAGGAAAATAACAATAATGAAGAACCATATAATATAGATGAAGAAATTGAAAAGTTTCAAAATAAACTTGATCAATTGGTTAAAGAGGAGAATGAAAAGGAACAAACCAAAGTGTATATTAGAGTTGAAGATGATAAAACCCAAATATCTGTAGATGCAGCAATACCAAGCAATGGTGAATTGTTATACAAGAGATCAAACGATAAGCATGTAGGTGAAGCACCCATTAGAGAAACAATAGCAAGTGCAGTTTTGATGAAAACTGAATTCAATGGTAATACTACATCGCTATGGGACCCATTCTGTGGCAGCGGTACACTCATCCAAGAATCGTTAAGTTTATTAAAATACAAACCATCAATGTCAACAAAGTTAGTTAGAAAATTTCATTTCGAAGATTTTATGTGGCATTTAAAGGAGGAGTATGACCAATATCTAAAACTTATTAATAGAGATTTATCAAAACTAAATGAAGGTGTTTTCTTTATTGGTTCAGATATCAGCCAAAGAGCCATAGATGCATCGTTCCACAACTTAAAGAATGAAGGTTATCAAAATGTTAACTCAAACCAACAAGACACTGAAAATCGTTTAAAACTATTTAAAGGTGATTTCGAACAAATATTTAAATCAACGATTGAGCCATTAATAAACAATAGCAACAATAATAAACAAATTACAATAATAACAAACTTACCATACGGCCAAAGAATTTTAAATAGTCAAACTATAGAACTAATAGATGAAAATCAAGATCCCCAATTAGAACAAGAAATATTTAATACACTAAATCAAAAAAACTATTCATATTTAAATGACCACATAACAGATGACTTAAAACTACTATTTAAAAGATTTGGAATGTTTTTAAACCAACATATAAACGAACCCAACAGTATAATCAAAGATGTATATGTAATTAATGGAAATTTATATTTTAAGAATTTAACAACAAATAATAACCAATACAATTTCAAATGGGAGGAATTATTAAAATTTAAAAATGGTGGATTAAATGTAGAATTATTAAAACTAAAATTAAATAAATAAAAACATTCATAAAATTTTATTTAAAAAAAAAAAAAATAAAAACCATTACATATTTTTATTATATTTATTAATAGATATATATATTTTATTCGTTTTCTTCATCTGTTGCTTCGCTTTTTAAAGAATCGATAAATTGGGTATCATAAAACTTTTGATTTTCCCAAATTAATAAAACTTTAAAAACTTTTTCTTGATTTTCTGGTGGTTCATTACTTGCAACTGTACCGACAATGAATGGTAAATACTCTTTAATGTTACGGGCAAATTCATCAGAAACCCAATCATCTGGGGTTGGACGTTTAGAAGAGCTATTGTGAAGACAGTCATTTAATACATGGAGAATATTTAACTTTTGTGGGAATGGTAAATTTTGATTATCTTGAAAATATACAACAACTAATGATATAACCTCTAATGCATTTGCGCTGTGAGCCATGATCCAATTTTTACAATTTGTAATAGATTGTCTACTTGTTGTTAATGATGATAAAATCTCTTTAAACTCTGCGACCTCGCTATCTGTTAAATAAGTTTGTGGATAATTTGATTGTTGTTGGTTATTATTATTAGTACTATTATTATTATTATTTGTTGGTGAATTTTGATTTGGTGTGTCGCTAGTTGTGGTGGTTGATGAATGAGTATCTGGATTTTTGATGGTCCATAATTTCCATTTATAATAATCGTTAGTTGGGCTTCGTGGTTTTAAAAATGAGAATAATGGATTATTAGTTTGCTTATCTGCTGTAAAGGTTTCTAAACGTGGTCCAACTCTATGAACATATTCTGCGAATTTATCAATAATTTGTTGCTCTGATGGATTTTGTGGTGGTGGTGCTGGTAAAGGAATTTGGTTTTCTCTTGGTGGACGTGGTGGTCTCATACCTGGTCTACCTGGTGGTAATTGTGATGGTTGTTGTGATTGGTCATCGCCTTGTGTTGGTGGTCCTCCAAATCTAGATTTATAACTTTCATCCTCTTTTCTAAAATTAATCTTTAATGGCATACCACAAACCATAGTGCCAGTTAAATTATTTCTTGCTGCTATTGCTGATTCAACTGTAAAAAAATTAACAAATGCACAACCTCTACCTACTAAAATACGAATATTATCAACATTTCCAAATTGATCAAACAATTGTTTTAATGTTTCTGATGTTACACTTGGTCCAATATTTCCGAGCCATAAATTTTTAGTTGGTACTTCTTCTTGTAAATGATGTGGTGGTTTATTAAAGTGTGGTTGTTGTTGTTGTTGTTGGAAAGCTGCTGGTGCATTTTCTACCTATAAAATATAAATAAAATATTAATATATAAACAATAATGGGAATGTAATTTATAAACTAGTTGATTAAACTTACTTTACCAAAGCCCAATTTTAATGGGTAACCTCTAATAGGTGTACCATTTAAATTATATTGTGCTGCAATTGCGGCATTTACATCACCAAATGTAATAAAAGCACATTGTTTTGCTGGTATAATTTTAATTGCTTGAATATATCCAAATTGTGAGAACAATCCACGAATTTCATCTTCACTTGAATCTGGATGAACGTTTCCTGCCCAAACAATTTTAGTTGGCTCTGTTGGTTTACCGCTACCTTGTAAATGTGGTGGTAAACTATTATTATATGGTGGTGGTGGCTGAGTATGTGATTGATAAGAAGATTGTTGCTGGTGTGGTGGATAACTACTATTGCCACTATTGTTACTGCTATTGTTATAATAATCATTATATCCATCTTGACCTGGTTGTTGTTGGTTATTATAATAATCATTATATCCTCCATTATAACCTTGATCACTATATTGGTTTTGTTCGTCTTGACCTACACCTGCTGATGATCCATCTTCATTGACTCTCTAAATTTAAAAATAATATTCACAGGTTAGTAAATGAATCGATTTCATTTTTTTTATTTCCCAATATCCTTATCATATTTTATATGCATACCTGTCTTTTTAAGAATTGCTCCATAAAACTACCATCATTGGAAAAAGCATTCATATTTAAATATTTACTTATTTTAAATTAAAATAAATAATTTATATAATTTTAAATAAAAAAAAAAAAAAATTTTAAAATAAAAATTTTAAAAAAAAAAAAATAAAAAAAAATAAAAAAAATAAATTTAAAAAAAAAAAAAAAAAAAAACTATTTAGTTTTAAATCTATTTATAAGTTATTGGTTTTTTGTAAACAATATAACAACAAGATAACAAACAAATATCTATAGAATTTGGGGAATAATATTATTTTGCTAATAATACATTAATTTATTTATTTAAATAAATATTAAAAATAAAAATTATAAAAAAAAATAAAAAAATAATTTTCGTAATTTTTTAATTTTTTTTTTTTTTAAATTTTTTCAATTTTTTTTAAAAATTTTTTTTTTTTTTTTTTTGAACACAATCAAAAACTATAAAAAAAAAAATCATCATTTGTGTGTAATTTTTTTTTTAGTTTAGTGATAGTTAAATTGTATATAATTAATTAAACCAACTAATCGAACATCATATATATACAAAATGCAAAAAGAAACTTCAATTTTCTTACCATCACAAGTCACCGTCAAGGTTCACCCAGTTGTCATTTTCAATATTTTAGATCATTTCATTAGAAGAAACGCTGGTCAAGATCGTGTTATTGGTACTTTATTAGGTTTTAACAATGATGGTGTTATTGAAATTAGAAACTGTTTCCCAGTTCCACATTCAGAAACTGAACAAGTAAAATATCAAACATATTAATAAATATATAAAAGATAATAAATAAGAATAAATAATTGTAGCTATGATAATAATAAAAATAATGATAACGATATGATAGAAATTGCGAAATAATGATAATGAAAACGATAACCATATAATAATAAAAATAATGATAATAATAATTTCAGGTTTTCATAGCAAATACAGCATAGATTCGATATTTATATCAATATAGATTAGGATAGGATTAAATATAGAAAATAAAAAATTGGATTATAGCCAACCTATCAAAATAAACAATTTAATAATAATAGAAAAATAATAAAATAATATATAATAATTTATTTACATATTATAAAAATATTAATATTTAATTTTTTTTTTTTAAAATTATTTTATAGATTGCTGTTGAAATGGAATATCAAAGAAAAATGTTAGATTTACATTTAAAGAGCTCACCAAGAGAACCAATTATTGGATGGTATGCCACTGGTAATGATATTAATGAAAACAGTGTTCATATTAATAATTTTTATCGTGATGAAATGGGTAATACATCACCAATTCATTTAACAGTCGATACTGGTCTCACCAACGATACCATGGGTATTCACGCATATATGGCCCACAACCTCAGTTTAACACCAGATTCATCATTAGGTTCATACTTTTCACAACTCCCATTAGAAATTTTAACTTTTGAAGCTGAAAATGCAGGTCTCGAATCAATTGCTCAAACTAAATATGATCAACAATCAACTAGTTTACTCTCTGAATTAGAATCTCTCCAATCTTCATTAAAAAAACTCGATGAAATGTTAGATTCAATCTGTTCATATATCGAAGCCGTCGAAAAAGGTGAAATTCAAGGTGATCCACATCTCGGTCGTTTCTTAGCTAAAACCATTCAAGCTTTACCAAAAGCAAATGCTCAAGTTATGGACAAAGTTATCAATAATAGCGTTAAAGATTTATTAATGATCGTTTACCTTTCTTCTTTAACACGTTCTCAATTAGCCGTTGCTGAAAAAGTTCGTCAAAGTTTAAATTAAATATATATCAATAATTAATTATTTAAAAAAAAACCTCAAAAAAAAAAAAACAAACCCTTAAAAAAAGAAAATCTATTAAAAATTATTTAATTAATAATAATAATTAAATAATAATTAATATTATATATCTAAAAAAAAACTATAAAAAAAAAATTTTAAAAATAAAAAAAAAATTAAAAAAAAAAACTATAAAATAAAATTTATCTTTATTTCTTTTTTTTTTCACATTTCTCTTTTTTTTTTTTTTTTTTTTTTTTAAAAAAAAATAATTAAATAAACAATGTTTGAAATATTTGTTTTAAAATTTTTTTTATTTATTTTTTACAAGAAATAATTTATAATTCATAAAGCATTATCTTTTTTTTTTTTTTTTTATATTTTTTTTTCTTTAATTATTAATATTATAAAGATTGATTTATAATAATAAATAAATAATATAAATTATTATTTTTATAGTTTATATTATTTATTTATCTAAAACAACAACTGCATTGTCATTAAATCCTTTTGTAACTTCGTTATCGTTATTACTAATGCTGTTATTGTTATTATTATCGAATTTGTTCATATCAATTACAGCCGAATCATTTCTAATTTGTGAATCTGTTAAATCGTTTTGTTGTTCATCGTATTGGCCTTTGTGAGTTTTCATAAAATTTCTACCAGTGATTTTGGTCAAAGCTTTTCTAAAGATTGTGCCCCAATTTTCATTTAGTAATTGGTAGAGGAAGATGGCTGAAAAGGTGGCAACACCAATACCATCGATTTTTAATGTACCCCATTCGACTACAACATTGATCATACCAACACCCAATACAATTGAAATACCAGCAGTTAACAAGTTTCTTGGCTTTGAAAAGTCTACATTTGCTTCAATAAATAATTTACAGCCAGTCATAGCAGTAATACCAAATAAAATAATAGAAAGGCCACCAAATACACCTTGAGGAATAGTTTGAACCACTAAATTATAAATAAAAAGGTTAATATAAAAGGCGTGGTGTCCACAAAATTCAATTAAAATGATATTTACCAGCACCAAATATTGGTAAGAAACCTAAAATGATAGCAATAACAGCGGCAACAAGGAAAGAAACTGTTGAGAAGATTTTGGTAATACTCATTACACCAATGTTTTCGGCATAGGTTGTGGTACCAATACTTCCACATGCACCAGCAATAATTGTTGCTATGGAATCACCAAGAAAAGTTCTACCTAAAAGTTTATCCATATTTCTATTGCTCATTGTTGCTACAGCTTTTAAATGACCTATATTTTCAGCAGCTAAAATAATAGCGGCTGGTGCAATTAATGAGACGTAGGTACCATCGAATTTTGGTGTGGCGGTTGCAGGTGCACCAATCCATTTTGAATCCTTTACAATAGTGAAGTCAATACCTGGACCTACACCTCCTAGACCAAAGAATAAATAAACAAGATAACCTGTTACACCACCTACAAGAATTGGTAATCTTTTCAATGGACCTGGACCATAACATGTGCAAAGTACTACAACAAAAACAGTTACCAAAGCCATCCATGCATCAAAACCTGAAGTATTTGCTTGATTTACGGCATTATTTGCTAAATGAAGACCAATCGAGATAATTACCGATCCCGTTACAACTGGAGGAGTTAAAAATTCGAGCCATGCATGACCTGCAATTAATACAATAAGTGAAATACCCAAATAAATAAAACCGCAAATTACAATACCGCCTGAAGCCAATGGAATGTTTGGATTGGGTCCACTACCTGGGACATAACCTGTGGCAGCATTTACTACACCGACAAATGCAAATGATGAACCTAAATAAGATGGAACTTTACCACCGGTGCAGATATAGAATATAATTGTACCTACACCACTAAATAAAAGGGCAGTATTGGTTGGGTAGCCCTAATAGTAATAATAATTTTGTATTTTAGGTATTGAACTAGAAATAATGTTTACTCTATATAGTTATATAGTATATATAGAGAAATAGTTACCATCAACAATGGACATACTACAGTAGCACCAAACATTGCCAAAACATGTTGGAATGATAATAAAATAGTTGGAAGCCATGGTAATCTTTCATCTACATTAATTGGTAGAGTATCAATAGACTTTAAAGTGTATCTTGGGAAATAATTAAGTATTATAGTAAGTAATGATTTCGCTGTCGTTATAACCTCGTCTTTATTGGTAGGAATTACTTTTAACAATACCATTTCTTTAAATAAAAAAAGAAAAAAAATTAATTTAATATTTATTTATTTATTTTAAATTATATTTAAAAATATAAAAAAAATAAATAAAATTATAATTTTATTTATTTGAATATTAATTATTATTATTATTATTATTATTACTATTTGTTTATTTATATGGTAAAAAGAATTACTATTCTATAAATAAAAATAAAAGTGTGTAATGAAATTTAAAAATAAATATTTTATAAATCTTTTATTATTTTGTTTTTTAGAGTGTATGTGTTATTAAAAGTGGGTGGGTAAATGTGTGAATGTGTGGTTTCCTTTTTTTTTTTTTTTTTTTTTTTTTTTTTTTTTTTTTTTTTTTTATATTCTTATATTTAATAATTACCCAAAAATAAATTATAAATATTTATTTCAAAAATAATATTTTATTTGTAAAAATAAAAAAAAGATAAGTGATTTTCAGTTTTGCCTTGATAAAACTATTTTGGTCTTAAATAAAAAAAAAAAAAATTAAAAAAAAAAAAATATGAATTGGGGTTTGAAAATTTTTTAAACCCATCCCGAATCCTTTTAAACGTTTGCATCATGTAAAAAGATTATTTTATAATCTGCCAAACAAATGCCCTTCTTGTTTTAAAAATAATTTTCTAAAATTATTATTGCATTACATGAAAATAAAAAACCAGATATTATTTTTTTTTATTTTTGAAAGAGGAGCACGGAAAAAAAAAAAAAAAATATAAAATTAAAACAAAATTTTTAATTTTAATTTTTCAAGTTTAAATTCCGAAATTGATTTTAAATACTGGTGTGTTTTATATATAAAAAAAAAAAAAAACTTAATAATATATGTTAATTTACAAATGATTTTTGGTTTGCTTGAAAATATAGAATAACTATAGCTTGAAAAATAATAATAATTAAAAATTTTACCCAAGCTATTTAACTGTTTTTATTATAACAAAAAAAGATTATGATTCGATTATTTTATTTTTAATTTTTTTTCTTCTTTGTCTAGGTTATGGTCAAAATTGAATAAACTCTTGAAGTTGCTGGAACTAAAAATGATGATGTCGAGAAGTCAGTTAGACAAATGGTATTTACTTGAATTTTACCAAAGTTTGTATATGTAGCAATAGTTATATAACCGTTTTGAAGATATGCAAAAAAGATGGGTGTTTTGCTTCCTGGGGTACCAACGTTTATAAAACTGAAAAGATCGGTGCCTGTTGGAATACCATTGACAATATCAATTCTTTTCATTACAGTTTGGTTAGTGCTACTAGAGGAGGTTATTAGGTATTTAATAGAATTGTACATAATTGGGAAAGCCTTATCATTATTACTTAAAACGGATGAGTCACAATATTTTGATGTAATGTTAACCCATTCTGAGGTTTTGACATCTAAAACATCATAACGAACACACAAGCTACTGCTGATATAAGATAAATATAATGAGTTTGAATAATAGTCAAAGCCTGATGAATAAAATGTGTTTATATAATTTTGCTCAACATTGGCCCTTGTTTCATTACTAATGAAATAAATTGATTGGTTAATAAATCAATAGTTAGTTTTTAAATGTTTTTATAGGAGTGCACTATAAAAAAAATACTTACTATGAACCTTTTTCGAAATCTAAGGTTAAAAACTCAAGCCATCCCATATTACCTTTGCCAACTAAAGTGATATAATTTGCTTGGTTTGATGGTGAACTTGAAATGGATGGTTGGTAATAGTAGTCATTTCCATGATAGGTATATGCAACATTTGAAAGGGTTTTTATAGCTTGGGTATCAATATCATAATGGTTTAAGCAATAACCTTTATTTGTATTGTATGAAACGTAAACTACACTATACATATCTGCTGATACTACACAAACTGGTGTGTCACCATTTTCAATAGAAAAATCTTGCAACAAATTACCGCTACTTGTGATATAATATTGAATGTGTAATGCTGTTTGGTTTATTTTGGATGTGGTTACATAAATCGATGGTGGTAGTGAAAATACACCCAAAAAAAAATGTTGAAAATAATATTAAAGAAATAATTATTATTTTTATCATTGTTTATTTGTTTGATTTTTTAAAAAATAAAAAAATTTTGGAAAAAAAAATATCTTTTATGTAAAAAAAAAAAAACCTATTTTTTTGAGTTGTTATTTTAATTTTTATTTAATATTTTTTTGAAATTATACAATATCATATAAATGACGGTTTTTATTTGGATTAATACTGGTTATATTACCAATATTATATATATATTTTAAATACGATTCATTTGGCTGGATGGTTTTTTATATGTTTGGTCTAAAGTTTTTCTAATAAATGATGTAAAAATGGCCAATCCCAACTATATTAAAAAAAAAAGAAAAAAATTAATAAAAGATATTTAATAAAAAAAAAAAAGAAAAAAAATATCTTACACAATAAAGGGCTTTAATGGCATCAACAACAACATCTGGAACAAAACCAAAGTTTGAAGTTTTAAAATCTTCATCTTTTCTATGTTTATAATAAAGAATTAAAACTACTGCAAGTGAGATTGAATATAAAATACCTAATGCTACCATTGCCCACATAAACTATAAAAAATAAAGTTAAATTTTGTTAATATTGCTTTTTTATTATTTTTTTATATAAAATTCTAATATTTACAATCCATAACCATGGCTTCTTTCTTTTATGAATACCTCTAACACCAATAATCATTAATGGCATATTGGCAAGACCAAGAATAATATCGAATGGATTTTGACACCTATAATAATATTGTTAAACATATAATTAATAATTTGCTATTATGATATAATCTTTATATGTGTAAAATCTATATTACCATCCCATAACACCTAAAGTCTATATTAATTAAAAATTTAAATGATTTGATTAGTATTATGAATATATTTAATATTGGTTTTTATTGTTTTCATTATTACTATTATTACTATTGCTATTATATTATTTAATACATACACCTAAAAATGCACAAGCAACAATAAAAAAGTATTGAGGCTTGGTAAGTGCAATATATTCCTCATTCATCATTACCATTTTTTGTTGTATATATTATAAAATTTATTAAATTTTTATATGATGTATCTTATTTATTTATATTTTTAAACTCTACAAAATTCTTGATTTCTTTTTTATTTTTTAATATTAATGTAAAAAAATAAATAAAAAAAAAAAAAAAAAAAAAAGAAAAAAATTAAAAAAATAAAATTAAAAAAAAATAAAAATAAAAAAAAAAAAATTATTTTTTTTAATTTTTATTATTTGAAAATTAAAATCAGTTATACATATAAAGGATAATACTCTAACCATGAACTATTATTATGAAATAAATTAATTCAAATAATTGATTCAAAATTCAAAAAAAAAATATATTTTTGATGGTAATTAAAATATAAAATAAAATAATAATAAAAAAACAAAACAATGAAAAATAGTTGGATAGGATATAAATTAAATTTAAATACCACAACAGTATATTTTTGAAATTTCCTCAATGGATTATTATTAATTTTTTTTTTTCACTTTATATTTGTATTTTAAAAATTTCTTAAATGGGTTTTTATTGTTGAATTTTATACAGTATTATAATATATAAATTATTAAAACAAAACCCATAATATAAGTTAACAAAAGGTGTGGATATAATGTTAATGGAAATAAATATTAGTTATACTTACCTGATCTTATTTCAAAACATGATCATTTAAACAGGTGTTTTGAAAGACATAGGTTATCAGACCATCGCACCAAGGGTTTGGCTTATGTGTGTCGTAAAGACATGGATCTAATTTGTGAATTTTGTGGTTTACAGCGTTCGCGCTTAAACCACTACCCCAAAAATTAAAGAAAAAAAAATAAATAAATAAAAAAAATTATGAAAAGGGGTATTTTTTTTTAATTTTTTTATTTTTTATTTTTTAATAACATCAATAAAAAAAAAAAATAATAATTATATAAATAATAATAATAATAATAATAATAATAATAATAATAATAATAATAATAATAATAATGAAACTTGTCAAACACAACAACAAATATTATTTAATTTGCACTCAAGGATATCTGTCCTCGATATATGATCAACTTACAGATCCAACAGATGAATATGATACAAAAAAAAGAATGTATAAACAATGTGGGATTACAGTAGCAGTACCTGATGAAAACCATACTTTCGTGAAAGCAATTAAGGGTCGTATTCTTTTCACAGAAAGTAGAAAAGAATTTGAAAAGAATTTGCCAGAATTATTCATCATAGATGAGGAATCACGTTTTCAATATTTTAGACGTTGTTATGAAATAATCTGCAGAGAAAAGGTTAAACAATATAAAACAAGAAAATTTCTCGTCACTCACCATGAAATTAATTTTCATACTTTGGTTGAAATGAAAATATTCATTGGTTCTTCAGTGGATATTAGAAAGTATCTCAAAAAACAGGATCAATACAAACAGGAGATTGTTAATCAAATAAGAGATTCATTGGGTATAGAAAAACCAGAAATAATAAAGAAACGAAAGGGGATTTTTAAAATTGAAAAGAATTGGTCAAAAAAAAAAGAAAAAAGTGATAATAAAGAAAAAGAAAAAGAAGAAGAAGAGGAAGAAGAAGAAGAAGAAAAAGAGGAAGAGGAAGAGGAAGAAGAAGAAGAAGTAGTAGAGATTAATGATAATGAAAATTATGATAATAAAAAAGAAGACAATAATAATGGTAATAATAATAATAATAATAATGATAATAATAATAATAATAATAATAAAGGAGAAGAAATTGTCCATGAACATTCAACAATAAAGAAATCAATTATTACAGAGAATGGTTCGACAACAACAACAACCACAACCACAACAACGACAGTAACAAAAACAGTAACAACAGTAACAACAGTAACAATAACAGCACCAACACTAACACCAACACTAACACTAACACTAACACCAATGCCAATGCTAACTTCATCATCAACACCAACACATCAAATAGTCGTAAAATCAGAACCAATTTCACAAGACCCACCGCTATCTAGTCTACAGTCCTAAATATTTAGACCCCTGATTATTTTTTTTAACAAATAAAACATTAGATTTTTATAATTATAAAAATAATATAAATTATGAATTTATAAAATTAGTTTAATTGTTTAAAATTATAACCAAAGTATTTATTATTTGTTAAAAAAAAAAAATTTATGAGTGAATTTTGAAAATAAATTATTATTTTTAAAATTAAAAAAGAATGGAGAGAGGATTAATCGAAAATTTTTAATTGAATTAAGCTCTCTTTTCTAATAAAACATTGAAACGATCTACTGGTTTTGTTGTGATACCATATTTCTCTATTTCATTGATTTTTTTGCCATCTACAGATTTGAATCTATATCTTAATAAAACATTTGCGATACATAAGAAAATTTCATCTTGAGCAAAAGTCATACCTAGAAAATGAATAAATGAATGAATGGGTGTTAATAAATATAATTTAAAAGTTTTAAATAGATAATAAATTTAAATACATACCAACACAATTTCTTTGACCGATAGACCATGGAATGAAAGCTTGGTTATTTGGTTCATTAATAAATCTGGTTGGATCAAATACATGTGGATTTGGGAAGTACTTTTCGTTGAATGAAAGAGCATGGTAGTTAATAAGGACTTGAGAATCTTTTGGAATGAAATATTTATCATCGATAACAATATCATTGGTAGTTGTTCTTGGTAAACCAAATGAAGTAACTGGTCTGTATCTCATGGTTTCCTTGATAACTGCAGAAAGATATGGTAATGATGCTTTGTCACTTAATAAAACCCTATAATTTCTGTTTCTGAGGCTTGAATTTCATTTTCCCATATTAAATAACCGGCATCAATGTAACATGATGCTTCTGCGGATGATGAACTTTTAATTGCTTGTTCGCACGCGTATATATACCCCCGCCCACACGTTCTTGTTTTTTTTTTCGACGAAACTTTTCGAAGCAGAATGTCTGCTATTTGAGTCCAGAATGATGCCGCTTTAGCAGATTCTATTAAAACTCCTCTACTTGTAATCTAGAAACACCAGCGACCCTGTTTTTTTGGGGTAGATTGAAATATCTTGAAAAAATGGACAATTTTTGTGGGTACTTAAAATATTTGTGGAACTTTGTCTTTCACCACTTCGCTCAAAAGGGATTGCTTTGTGTGCTTTAGCAACTACAGGCCTAAATCTAACTTTTTGTCGAGGGGATTTTGATAATTACTAAAAATAAGAAAAATAAATAAGTTTTAAAAAACCCAAATTTTAAAAAATTTTGAATAACGTTTGCTTTGGACCTAAAATTTTCTTCTGAAAACTCGTTGAAATTTCTTTAAATATAACAAATAATTACGTATCTACCGGCCCTCGAACCCAGAACTGATATGCTTAACAC